ATATAGAAAATTTGATAGCGTTTATCTTATTTATTTAGTAAAGATGTACAAATGCCTGCCTACAAATACATTCAAGATCACAATCATGTATAATATTTTTAGGGCAACTCCAAACTATCATTAATGGTTTGCAAATCCAATAACAAAAAATTTTCAAAAATATTAGGATACATCAATATACTCCCAAAATTGTTTGAGGAAAAGTTCAAATCAACTTAATAATTGGTTTAGTTAGTCTGTCTTTTCAGTTGGATGGGAGAGAATATTATTTGTGGAGTCCATATGTATGTAAATTTCTTATACAATATTGTTGTACATATAAGTACAACAATGTACAACACTGTTGAACAAAACGTCTAGATGCATGCGGATTCCGTATTAAATATTTTTTACTTGGAGCGAGTTCAGGTTGTCCGATGTCTCGGAGTCAACTACATAATGCTGACAAAAGTAATCAAGGTAACTTGCCTATTTACTTAATTAGCCTAGGCAGATTCCTTCAAAGGTTTTAGCAAAACAACGAATTAGTCAGAATTTTGCCTTAAAGATGAAGTTGATATTTACTTGGGCTTGCCTAATATATGAATAATGTTGACACATATCTAAGATTCATACTCATTTTTTTATTCTAAGACGATTTCTTATTAGGTGGTGATAGCTGGTGATTGTTAACGTTTGATAGACGATAAAGTTTTTAAATTCATTAGACCGCGAGCTAGCTCCTTGCATACCAGACTGTATGTCGGTCTTAATATAAAAAATTGAGGTCTATTTATACTTTGATAAATTAGTTAAATTTGAGAAGACATCATCAAATAGCTTGATACACCACCAACAAATTTCCATCATCCAACACAGATCTTGTGGCAATTTGGACAAATCTTGGGATAAAGTTTGAGCAAGAAACATCCAAACTTCGATTAAGTGTCATTTAGAACTTCGATCTAGCAAATGTTCAGTCAAACCGACCGGCTAGATGAGATTAGAGACCCAACAATAAAGATCGAAACAATGTAAGTCAAATTAAGTCGTTAAACTGCTTTGGAATCTTTAGTGCATAATTGAAAGTCAAACAAATTTCAAATATAACAAACTTATAGTCAAATCGAGCATCTCAGTGAGATAAATCTAACGAGCCTAAGATCGCTCAATTCTGACATCATTTTGACCTTATTGGTCCACTGAACACCATCTGATTGAGGGAACCTTTCCAGGCTGTCTGATAGAGTGGTTTGAATTTTTTTTCATATTTTCAATATAGACTCTATAAATAAAGCCCTACCCTTCTCTTGAGAAGAAGGATAGGCCTGAAGACAGAAGAAGACTGAAGCTTAGAACAGAAGCTACAGTTTAAAATTTCTTCTGCACCGCAGATTCAACGAATACCTACCACTCCAACAGCATTCATTGCCAACTCTGACACACGTAGTTGCCTCATGAAAAATCTGGCCATCGTTGCCACCCAACTTCGGAGAACGTCGCTTACCAATTGTGGTTGTTATCACCTTTGGCAAGTGCCTCTTCGATAGTTGCTGCCTCCACCAACATTAATCACCATTGTGGAATCCCGACGTATATTGTAGAGAATTAAGGCATCTTGCATGACAACATACCCCAAATACACTGCAATGACACTCTCATGTGACAGTGTAACAACACACCCCTCATACAACCCAACAACACCTCCCTAGAAAATAGTGTAACCATGCTCCAAATACGGTGCAATAACATATCCTGATGACAGTGTGACAACACACCTCACATACGATGCAACGATGCCTCCCAAAGAATGTGTAACAATATCCACGAATACGGTACAACGACACACCTCCATGAAGGTATAACAACAAACCTCACATACGTACAACAGTGCCTCTCGAAGACAGTGTAACAATGTCCCTGAATACGGTGTAATGACACACTCTAATGACAGTATAACAATGCACTCTACATATGGTGCGATTATCCCTCCCAAATGATGGTGTAGCGACGCACCCCACATACGACACAATGTCGCCTCTCGATATTGGTATAGAAATGCTCCTGAATATAACTCAACGATACACCCAATGACTATGTAATAGCACCCCACACATACTTCATAATGATGTCTCCCAAAGACCATGTAATAATGCCCCCAAATACGTTGCAACGACACACCACGATGAGGGTGTAACAATGCACCCCATATAAGATAAAACGATGCCTTCCGAAGTTGATGTACCAATGTCCCTAAAAATAGTGCAAGCCAACACCCCGATGATTGTGCAAAAAATGCACCTCACATATGGTGCGACGACGCCTCCTAACGACGGTGTAACAACGCAACCCACATGTGACATAACGAAACCTTCTGAAGATGGTATAACAATACCCCCTAATATGGTGCAGTGATACACTTCGATGACATGTAACAACACACCCCACATACAACACAACGCCTCTCTAAGGCGACAATTCATTGCTTTATCACTCCAGACCTTCTGACACACAACATAGCTCATATTATCTTATTTAATAATGAAGTGATATTTTAGCATTTACATATTTTGATGAACTCGTTGTATTTCTCTTTGTTGAGACATTTGATTTGATTGTGACTAAGATTTAGATGTCGTTTCAACCATCAATCAAAGCCCCAAAATTTCTATTCTTACTTCAAGTATTTTATTTAGGTTCATGGGAGCATGGATTGGACCACCATTCATGTCATTGGGTAGTTTACCTCATCTAAAGGTTTTTTATGATAATAAATTTGTTAAAATTTGAGTTGGGATGATTTTAAATTTGACTCTACAAATTATTACATTCACTAAGCATCTCATGCTTAGTGAAGTGGTTTTTGTGGTGCCATATCAAATATATAAATATATAGTTATTCGTTGCTTTAAGCTCCATTTTGTATCCATTTATATAAGTATTAAATATATTAATACTTAAGCATTATAAAATATGCAGGCAAATTCTACTAACATTTTTTATTTTATTAAAAACTAATTTTTCTCTATCAAAGAGAGGTACTCATGGACTTCAAGCACGTGGGCTGAGGTCCACGGTTGCGGGCTTAAGCTTCTCTCAAAAGCCCATTAATCCAACTCGTTTCCCTATTTGGGATCGAGGTCAGATGGTAGAGGGAGCGATACAGACACTGTGAGACAAAGATACGGGAGAGGGAGAGGGAGAGGGAGGGAGGGAGTTGCTGAACACCATCTGGTTCAGGGAATCTCTTCAGGCTGTCTGATAGAGTTGTCTGGATTTTTTTTCTTATTTGCAATATAGACTCTATAAATAGAGCACTGCCTCTTTATTGAGAAGAAGGATAGACCTGAAGACATAAGAAGACTGAAGCTTAGAACATAAGCTACATTTTAACATCACTTATGCACCGCATATTCGACGAATACCTCCCACTCTAGCAGCCATTGTTGCCAACTCTGATACACGTAGCTGCTTCATGCCAACTCTGACACACGTAGCCGCTGACCAATTCTGGTTGTTATCACCTTTGACAACTACATCTTCGATAGTTGCCGCCTCTAACCAACATTAGTCACCATTGCCACCCTCCCGATCATTGTCGACCCCCGATCATTGTCGACAACAATCAACTACTACTTGCTTCTTGCAACAAAGTTTTTTATGGAGCCACAACGTGCACTATGGAATCCCGACGTATATTTTAGAATAACGAGGCATCTTGCATGACAACATACCCCAAATACACTGTAATCACACTCTCATGTGACAGTATAACAACACACCCCACATAAAACCCAACAACACCTTCGAGAAAACAGTGTAACAATGCTTTGAATGCGGTGCAACAACATATCCTGATGACAGTGTGACAACACACCTCATATATGATGCAACGATATCTCCTAAATAAGGTGTAACAACACACCTCACATACGACACAACGATGCTTCTCGAAGACAGTGTAACAATGTCCCTGAATATGGTGTAATGACACACTCTGATGACGATATAACAATGCATTCCACATATGGCGCGATAACCCCTCCCAATGATGGTGTAGCGACGCACCCCACATACGATACAATGACGCCTCTCGATAATGGTATAGCATTGCCCTTGAATATGACTCAACGACACACCCAATGACTGTATAATAACACACTACACATACTTCACAACGATGTCTCCCAAAGAGCATGTAGTGGTGCCCCTAAATACATTGCAACGACACACCACGATGAGGGTGTAGTAATGCATCCCATATAAGATAAAACGATGCCTCCCGAAGTTGATGTACCAATGTCCTTGAATACAGTGCAATACAACACCCCTATGATTGTGTAAAAATGAAATTCACATATGGTGCGACGACGATGTAACAACACACCCCACATATGACATAACGAAGCCTTCTGAAGATGATATAACAATGCCTCCTAATATGACCACATACAACGCAATGCCTCCCTAAGACAACAATTCATTATTTTATCACTCCAAACCTTATGACACATAGCATAGCTCAAACTTACTTTTTTGATCATGAAGTGATATTTTAACATTTAAATATTTTGATGAGCTCGTTGGATTTCTCTTTGTTGAGACGTTTGATTTGATTGTAATTAAGATTTGGATACCATTTGAACCATCAATCAATGTCCCAAAATTTCTATCCTTACTTCAAGTATTTTATTTAGGTTCATGGGAGCATGGATTGGATCACCATTCATGCCATTGGGTGGTTTTCATCATCTAAAGGTTTATTATGAAAATAAATTTGTTAAAATTAGAATTGGGATATATATATATATATATATTAAAATTTAAGTATTAGATGTATAAATATATAAGAATTAAAAATATGCAGGCAAGTTCTTCTAACATTTTTTATTTTACTAAAAACTAATTTTTCTCTGTATATAAGAGATGCTAATGGACTTCAAGGACGTGGGCTGAGGCCCACAGTTGTGGCTTAAAGCCTCTCCCAAAAGCCCATTAATCCAACTCCTTTCCCCATTTGGGATCCAGGTCAGATGGCGGAGAGAGCGATACTTTTCTCGAGAGAGTGAGGGAGGGAGAGCGGCGGAGCGCGAAAGGGAGTTGGAGCGGCATCGAGCACAGCTGACGGCCGCCGAAGGTTATGGCCGGTCTAGAATCTCCGCCAACGAATCTTGAGAGGCGGCCGTGTAAGGTAACCATGTCTTTTATCATCTCTTGAAGATTTATTCCCTCCCTTGTTCTTCCACACATTTCTCATGGCTGGAGGCTGCGGCCCTCCTTTTCTCCAGAAATAGCTCATGCATGATGCATGAGTGAAGGCTTGTCTGTGTTGCCTCTGTTCATATTGTTCTCCTTGGCCTCGCTTTTTTGATTCGGAAACTCTAATGGGATTTTCAATGTTGTGCAATGAATTATTGAGACCGAGACTTATGTTTGCAATGCATTGTTAATTTGCTGTCAAATTAAATACAATTTTAGGTGGATTCATTTGTGTTTGGCTAATGGCGAAGGAAAGCTATACTGATTGATAATGATTTGTTAACGGTCCAGGATTTAAAAATTGCCATTCTTTTTTTGTACTTGCAAGATTTAAATTAAATCTGACTTAAATCCACTACCAGATAGCCCCCTGAATGTTTTAGCTCATCATAAAATATGGGAATTGCTTTAATTTGTTTAAATCTGAGCTTCATGTTGAGATTTTAACTTTGCATGTTCCTTGAGGCCTTTAGTAATTAGTAAAAGTTCTACTGTCCTATATGCATTTGGATGATAATTCTTATAAAAAATAAAATGGATTATAATTTTGAATTTGTATGTGATGTGTTTATTTAAAATAATTTGTTAATAATATTTTGAAAAAAATAAATTTAAAATAGCAATCTTGATTGCTATGTAAAGAAAAATAAAGTAGATTATCATTTTGGCCTTGTATATAAAATGTTTAATTGAAAATTGTAATTGTTAAAAAGCAATTCGAAAAATTAGTACATTTGTCCATGGAATGACATTATAATATTAATTTTATCATATAAGAAAATTGCTAGGAAGAATAAGATAAATAAAACATGTAATGCCCCACTAAAAGGTTTGCAAAATTTTCCAAATAGATAGAATGAATGCTATATCTCATATAGATTCTAATATGGTGATTATGTTTTTAAGGAAAAAATATTTTTAAAACACAAAAGTTCATTGTCTTAAAACCCCACTGTTCAACCCCTAGGAAAGCCGTCAGTTGTATCAACCGTCACTAGACTGTCGTATGTGAAGCAAAATTACCTATGAACTCTAGTCTATCGATTTTTCCGCTAGTTTTAGCTGTTTTTGTTTGGTGGTGTAAACATTAAATTAAGGAGATAATC